CTCTCTCTTTCTCTCCCCTCCCCCCTCTCTCTCTCTCTCTGTCTCTATCTGTCTGTTAGTTTGTTGGTCAGTCGGTGTGTGTGTGTGTGTGTGTGTGTGTGTGTGTGCGTGCGCGTGCGCGTGCGCGTGCGCGCGTGGGCCTGCTCGCTCTTGTGCACTCTCATTATGTATATATGTATATACATGTGTAATGAGTGTGATTTTGCTATTTAAATATCCCCTACACTGTTCGTGGTGTCGGTGGCCTAGTGGTTACTATAGTGGTTAGGCTAAGGGACTCATATTCGTGAGGTTGCGGGTTCGGGGGTTTGAGCCGCGGGCCTGTCGTTGTGTCCTTGGGAAAGGCACTTTACACAAATGTTCCTCACTTCACCCAGGTGGGAGTGGGTACCCGGCAATAGACAGCAAAAGATCTTGTCAGTGTGTTAGTGTTTTAGCGCCTATACATGGCTGCTTGCACTGTATGCTTCCCAGGAAGTTGAGGTTGTTTCAGAATGCTCTCAGGTCTGCTGGGGTAATAGTATAGATTGTGAAGCGCACAGAGCTTGCTGTTGAGCGGGGATTTGCGCCGTACAAATGCTATCTATTACACTGAGTGTGACTTTGCTATAAATACCCCCTGCACTATTCATGTATATTAGATGTGTGCTCAGTAAATGCTATTGTGAGTGGGTTGTTTGCGGGTGCTCTGATGTGGTTTGCTTCTTCTTTCCTATCAAGCAACTATCGGCGTTTTTATCTCCCCCTCTTCTTTTTTTAATGTTTGTTATTCTCTTGTAACACCTCTAATCTTCGGCACTTATATGGCCATACTGTGTTGCAAGTGCCGTAAAACTCTTACTAAAACTAGAATGCTTTTGTTTCCCAAATTAATATCCCCAATGGGGGAGAAACAGGAATGTTGTTTTTTGGGGGATTTGTTTCTTTATTATTATTTTTTTTACTATTATCTGGAAGAGGGGGAAGGGGGTGGGGGGTTGTATTTGGTTTTCTTGGGTTTTTTCTTTTTGACGTAACCGTTATTGATGTTATTGATTTTTGACCTAACCAACAGCTGTTACAACCCAATGTGGGTGGTTGGCGGGCGCTCTGGTGTGGTTTGTTCTTCGTTCGTTCGTCCTTATCTCTCCTCCTTCTTTTTTATGTATGTTACTCTCTTGTAACACCTCTGTTCTTCGGCTCTCATTTGACCTTATTGTGTTGCAAGTGCCGTAAAACTCTTACTAAAACAAAATGCCTATCGTCCCAATCTCTCCTTTTTTGTGTCTGTTACCTTTTTGTAACTCTTCGGAACTTTTATGACCGTGTTGTGTTGCAAGTGCGTAAAACTCTTGTGAAAAACTAAAGTAAACTATCCCAAATTTTGGTCCAGTTCGTGAGCGAGTATAGGCGTGCGTACGGTAAAACATTTAAGGAGTTGATCGGTAAAAAGGCGACACTTACTATCTAATCAAGAGTCTTTTATTTTAGTTTAGTTGTAGTGGTAAGAGTTTTACGGCACTTGCAACACAATTAGGTCATGATATAGTCCCGAAGATTGGAGGTGTTACAAGAGAGAAGCAAACTTAAAAACGAAGGAGGAGAGATCAGGACGATATATATATATATATATGTGAAGCGTGCTGACAAAAAGAGTTACTTCTCGGATCCAAGTCTTATGGAAATAGACACATCACGCTATTAGGTGAAGTTTTTACAAT